GTTTCTCAACATTCAATATCGTATTCTGCAAATAGAACTCTTGCAATTTTTTACTTCCCTTTGAGCTCTCCAGAAAAATCGGGCTTTCCTCCCACATTAAGCTGACACGCCTCGATATAACTGGAATACTGTTTAAAGCAGCGTTAAACCCAAACACACCCTTGTATCACCGATGCCTGCATTAAGTCAGTAAGAAAAGATCACACATTTGTGTACGGAAGTTGAAAAAGCCACTTTGGGTAATGACGCACAGATATAGATCTATGTTAATTTTGTAACATCCCTAACAATACAAATATGAAACATTTCATAAAAACTTGTTGTGGGTTTTGCAGTGTATCTAAAGAACTACAGACAAAGGAATAAGAAGCATGTAATATGGTGTGATGTATGTGGTGTTCGTTATGAACTTTGCCATCAGCGTAATTCCTTTATTTTATTTTTTCCATTACCGAACATAAAGTTGTCATTTGTTGTAAATTCAATAGGAAATTGGCTATTAACTAAAGATGTCACAGAAAGAGATTATATTATTAGAACTATTAGAACGGAGTGTTTGATTTATGAAACATGATCTATATATCAATATTTGTAAGGAGACAGATGCTATATTTGATGTACCAAATACTAGATGAAAAAGAAATGTACAATATCGGGAATTCTGATAATTATTTTTACTGTGTAACTAGAAATTCGAAAGTACGGGTGTGGTCCTGACAAACAAATAAGCATAATCAGGGCATGTTTCGGCCCATGATTATAGGATTCTGACGCAAAAATAATAGTAAAAACACCTACCAGGTGAAAGCTATCATTTGAAATCAAAATAAGAAAACATATTTTAGTCCACCAACGGCCTCTATTCTTCAATAATATTGTAATATACGTATATAGTTTCAATATTGCTGATTAAACGCAAAGATATAAACTCTCACTAACTGCCCAATAACATTCATGTTATATTGTTAATATTCAAGTAAGTTAACATGTTCTTAGTGTGTGTTTCGTGGATTCATCAGGGTTCATTAAAAATTTGTTTTTGTATCCCACCAGGTAGTGTGAATCAGGTCCTTACAGATCTGTTTTGTCATGTAGTACTCGTTATACATCCACATTGTCGAATCGCATTATCAAAGATACATCAAGATAAGGCAGCATATATATTCATGTATGCAAACTGCCTTATCTTGATCATCTACTTTGAGGAATCGCACAATTAAAGATGCATCAGATAATGAAAACTTATAATTATGTGTCAAGATTAAAGGGAAAAGTGTATAATCGAGAAATGTATGTTTCATGATTCACGAACAGTGAACCTATACAGCCATGCTGCGTTCCAGACACAATTCTTCTATGAATAATAAACCAACTGTGAACGGTTTAATAGAACCACTTCTACTCGTCCGGACTAATGGCGGTTTTATAATGCTAGACCACTGAGATATCATGCCGACATCAAAAGCATACGCCACTTGTGAAAATATCTCCTTTCCCCCCGTCACTCGATGAGCGAAACATGATATTTCACTCAACACATGGAATAACCTCTATCTGAAATAATAAGTATCTGATTTTTGTAAAGACAAAAACACAGATTCTAAATCCACAACATAGTAATTTGTACTAAATAGCCATTCTTATTGACATTCTGTCACCTGATTGACACTTTGGGTGTGTGTTTCGTGTACCAGCTGTACACAGTTAATCTAATAATCTCATATTAACAGATCTAAACGATACATGAATGGTCACATACACCAGTTTACACACGCAATTTGTGAAATCTTCTCGGATCTACGAGTACTTACTAAAATTGTGAATAAATTATGAGTGGACAACACCTTTTGTATTGCATAAATATTGCAAATGGACAGTTACTAAAATATTAACTCAATTTCTCAAGATCAGTTTCTTATCATCTTGATGGGAAGCGTTTGATAAATGATATAATCGACTGTGTGTGGCTGAGTGGGGTATTCATGTTAAACTGCGGCATGGTATCTCAGTGTGCTAGCACTATAAATCAGCATCAATCCGGACTAGTACAAGCAGCCACACACACGCACATGCATGCACGTCGCTCTATAAGTGTAATAATTTTGGACGCGACGTTAAACCCGATTTCACCTCACTTCCTACATCAGATTAGTTGATCTCACGGAGGAAGATTAAATCATTTCACATCTACATCAATCACAAATTGATGCACCAGTGAGGTCGTGGAAAAATGTTTGAACTTGTGTGTTTGGATAACTTTTTAACTATTTTTCACTGCATGACTATCTAATCAGGGGCAAGGAAGAGATAAATTTCATATGAGCTATTTTGAAATGTTGTTTAGTAATAGCTCATATTAAATTCATTCTTCCCTTCCCCCATCCCTCCACCCAACCCCACCAACGATTGATATACAATGTACAAACTACGGTTATAACGAATACTCAAAGGGACCACTGATATTAGTTCGATATAATCGTAGTTCGTTATAAGCATATATACACCAAATGGCCGGGACAAAAAATGTTCGTTATATCCGTCAGTTCGTTAAAAGCGTGTTCGTTATAAACGTAGTTTACTGTATATTAAATTCCTTCCTACGGACCTCTCATTGATATATCTGAACGTTAATGGATGTCACCTTCAATAAGAAAAGTATTAACCAATATATGTCGATAGAAAATAAAATAATAATATCTTTCATTAATCTAAATATATTTATCTCAAAGTTATTGATTAGTGTTGCCTTGCGAAAGATAGTTAAGTTAATTGAAATATACAATATCGTTTGACCATCCGAACACTATTGCCAGATAATAAACTGTTCAGTTATTTTGCACAGGGGTCGATTTAACTGCTGGCCCGTTGACCCATTGCTCACACGAGACACTAGGTCTTATTGAACTAGCCCCCAAGCAATATCACACTTTTGGCCTTCTCCCATTCACACCACACTATAGCTTTGCTCCCTGGACAAATCCGTGTTTGGGCCCCCTTCCCGCCAGTACAGTCGGTGTGTACCGAGGTCGTGGCTGATTCGCCCAATAACCTGGTGACGAAATCGGAGTGGCCAAAACTCTTTCGAGACGCACACGATAAAGCATTTGCGCCTTCAAATATCATGAGTGGATTTCGTACATGTTGTATATACCCCTCAGTAACTTAGGCAGGAATGCCATCCCAATAGACGCCTATATATTGGCCCTCCAAACTAGTTGTCTCTGGATCCAGCTCTATTTCTAACAAGACATGTGAATGGATTTAGGACATCTATTAAACGCTACAGGTTTTATTGATAAATTTTCTGTTTGTACACAGGTGGAACAATGGTGTAAAAATGAATATGTTACCCGTTGGAGTGATATGTTAAGAAAGGAAGAGGGGCCAAATGGGCTTAATAAATTGAGAATGTATCGATGTTACAAACAAGTATATGGGACAGAATACTATGTTTCAAATAAGATGCCCAGAAACTATAGAAACTCGGCACTAGCCAAGTTTAGATGTGGCGTGGCTCCTATTCGAGTGGAAACCGGTCGATACGAAGGTGTACCTGTCAACAACAGAAAATGTTTTCACTGTAATGACAGCGTAGAAGACGAGGTCCATGTTTTGTTTCACTGCGTATTATATGAGGATATCAGGGCAACTCTTTTTAATGAATGTATTGCTAAATCTTATAATGTTTTAGATATACCTGATATCGACAAACTTTGTTTAATTTTCAGTGACTCCAGTGTGTGTTTTATACTTGCCAAAGTCTGCTTTTTAATTCTTAATCGTAGAAAACATCTTTTATATGGATAACTTTTTACTATATCATCTTTATATCATTTATGTATAAATTCTGTGATAATTCGTCTCTCATAATTCTATTGAATGGTTCTGTACATTTTATCTATGTCAAGTTGTACAAAGCTGTTTTATGTATGTACAGGAGTGAGACGTTAATAAACTATTGTCTGTATGTCTGTCTGTGAACCTGTCTTAGAACCATCCGATGACGTGGAAACAGCACTCATTGGTGAGCAGAGCGAATCAGCAGCTCGTGTAAGTTCAACTTATGAAGGATGGGTTGGTGGAAATATTCAGATTCAATCAGCATCAGATGAAAAGGCTGTAGTAACTGCTGACGATTTACCCATTGTCCTTCTTTCTGGGGAAGTTACGTCGTCAACTGATGAGGGTGGTAATATTATTCTTCAAATTCCAACAGCTGCTAGTTTTATGCCATCTGGGATTCTGTCCCCTTCACTTCCCCAACTGACTGTGTCTCCAGGCACATTTTATGCTCTTTGTTACAAAAGAAGAGTTCTTCACGTGTCATGTGTGTATACAATGTCTCTAAATAAAGTTTACGTTGATCTGTTCGACCACGGTGGATTTATTGTGCTAAATTGAAAAAAATTGATTTATTTGGTACTTTAATAAATGAGTTTGTATTTATTTCGTTGACCAAGGCAGTTTTCATGTGAGTGATTGAGTTTGATTTTACGCCGCTTTTAGCAATATTTCAGCAATATCACTGCGGGGTACACCAGAAATGGGCTTCATCCATTGTACCCATGTCAGGAAGCGAACCCGGGTTTTCGGCGTGACGAGCGAAAGCTTTAACCACGAGGCTACCCGAACGCCCCAGTTTTCATGTAATGTTCAATGTAGTGATACTGCAAAAACTTCCTATCATATTGATAATTGCCAATTCAGCACAGAACTGTGGTGTCGGGAAATTTGGATAATCAATAATATTATTTGTCGCGCATTATTACAACGTGAAAGGTTTAACATCTTTAATTTTCTTTAATCAACATTTCTTTCGAATTATTTCACATTACATAAATTAGGCAAGTTAACGAGGACAGATTTATCGAGATATCATTGGTTACATACGTAACTAGTACACTAGTTTTGTATTAATAAATCGTTGAACATCTACTAGTCTAATACGAACACGGTTCCCACACAAGAACTTTCAAAATAATTATTTATTACCTCCAAAATGTTGTACATGTATAACCATTAACAAATTTTAATTGTTAGGCAGATTGTCATGTGACGACGTCAAATCACAATTTATTATTACAAGTATGAGTGGAAATACACGCCAGGGTGAGGGGATTTAGCAGAAACGGAGCGTCATTGCTTGTTACATGACCAACTCGATTACATGCCCTTGTGTAGCTATTGTAGATGACGCTTTATGACAAAGCGGTAATGTTGAATAAGTATCTCGTCTTTCATTGGCTAATGTCAAATATTGTGTTTCCTCCTACTCATAAAGATTGCGTGTTACATGGCGTCCGAAAATGGGCGGATATTACCCGGAACGACTCAAGTACAACGTGAAATTCATCCTCTATTACATATAAGGAAAGTTTCTCATGCATATATCGATTTCAACAACATGTGTAGCAAATAGTGAAAATAACATAGGGCTTAGCATACACCCTTGTCTTAAACAAAATGGACAATCAAAATAATCCGTGAAATCTGTATTGAATACAACAAATGCTTTAACTGATCGGTATACACTTTTATTTTACCATTTTAGCCATACATGTAGGAAGACAATAATTTCCATAGCTGTGCTCGATTGCAAAATCAAAAGCCTTTGTTAACATCAATAAATGCAGCATAAATTTCTTCTTCTTTTTACATAGACATTTTTCAATCATTGCATATATAAGTTAAAAATATGATCCACAGTCAAACAACCTTCGTGAAAACCTGTTTGATTTTCAGAAACTTTACTCATAACACCTATCCATTTTAAAAGTATGTCATTTCATTATACATTATATTCTTTTCCTGACGAACTGACGTAAAGATGATCCTCTGCAATTTTCGGGATTATTTATACCGCATTTTAATGCAAAGGAATAATAATTGTCCACAAGTTCCAAAAACATCCACTGTGAAATATCTTGTTAAACAAAGAAAGTAGGAAGGGCATTATAATTGGTTCCGAAGATTTAATCACTTCAATGAGCACATTATCAATTCCAGGAGATATTCCATTTTTTTATGAGAGCAATAGCGTTATTTCTTTCTTTAACTGTTATATATATATGGAAGATTCTCATATAGGCTCTTCAATCTCACTGATCTGTAGAGGTCTGTCAGTTTCAGTTTCTTTTTCTAAAGTAATAGTTTTTAAGCTGTTAAAAAATATAGCTGAAAATATCGCTTTGATATTACTAGAAATTTTCCTTGTATGTGAAATACTTATATAACTCTTTCGAAAAGATGCTGCATTTGTTCTAGTTTCATATAACTATAATTTTCACTTGGCGCTCATGTATTTGTTTCTCAATTTACAATATCATATTCTGCAAATAGAACTCTTGCAATTTTTGAAGTGTGATAACTACTCTTGACTTCCTTCTTAGCTCTCATGAAAAATCAAACATTCTGGGATTACGAACTTTCTCTTTCACACATTTTGCTGATTCAAGTAGTTTACGACCAAAAAAAATAATCTAAGACTTCGTTAACATCTTTGTCGACAACAATAACATGGTCTGTTACAAAATCTTTTAGGGCAAAAATGTTGGCTATAAACGTGTCAACATGCAACGTATTCCATCTATACTTGACAGGACATGGTATACATTCTACTGGTACGGTATCCTTTACATTAGCTTATAAAAGATAACAGGTATATGCTTACTCTCCATTCTGTTGCCTACAGTATTTTGTGGTAAAAGCCTAAAGGAGCAATAGTCAAGAAAACCAATATCATCTCATTTACTTCGCAGACCTCTTATGTTCCATGTACATACTGGTGACCGTAGACAGTTTGATGTCAGTGCAGTATCTATTTGAGCCTGATTTCTTAATGACTTGGGTTTGCCGTATTCCTATTTGGATGCATTGCTCCTCTGACTATGTTTAGGAGTGGATGTAGCTTGGAATGTAAACAGAGAGCTATCTGAGCATAAGATAAAGTAGTTAGATATTTCGAGGAATGCTGCACATAAGATAAAGTACTTATATATTTCGAGGAATGCTACACATAATTAAGATAAAGTACTTATATATTTCGGGGAATACTACACATAAGATAAAGTACTGATATATTTCGGGGAATGCTGAGAATATGATAAGGTAGTTATATATTTCGGGGAATGCTACACATAATTAAGATAAAGTACTTATATATTTTAGAGAATGCTTCACATAAGATAAAGTACTTATATATTTCGGGGAATGCTAAACATAATATTAAGTACTTACATATTTCGGGGAATGATACACATGAGATAAAGCACTTATATATTTCGGAGAATGTTGAACATAACATAAAGTAGTTACATATTTCGGAGAAACCTACAAATATTATAAAGTAGTGACATATTTCGGAGAATGCTACATACATGATATTAAGACTTAGTAGTAACACCATTATTTCTGTGAGGTTGTTCAATGTAGTTTATACAAATCTCTTTTGCCTGGTGTGAATAGATAATGTTGTATTTTTGATTTATTCATGTATTATGTTCATATAAATCTATGCCATAAAATAGTCATATGCTGCAGATAAGGTAAAAACGGTCCCATTAATAATAATGATATATTTAAACTCACCTTAGTAATACCGTTCGTGTGGATGTGTCGTGGCAGTCTCAGTCTATTTAGGTTATTGACATCCTGTTTTGAAGTTCTCGTACACATGTCCAATAGTTTCTTATTGTACATTGTTCGTTCGTTGAACTACTTAAAGACAGCTGCACTATTGACGGCTCTGTATTATATACAATGTTGTGCAGTAAACAATCCTCCATCGCACGTCACTATTATGACCTCATTGTGAGGAGGTAAATCTATGATTGCACATAGAATTATAAAATTTCAAATGACTACAGACAATGACTGAGAATTTTTTTAAAACTTCCGCGGTGATGCGGTGGTCAAATCAGCTGTTTCAATTAGAGGGGATTATTGTCATTTATATCCTATTGACTAACCAGAGTCGAGTATTTTCAAAATGCATGGTAGAATTCGTGTTTAACACACCGAACAACATCGTAACGTACCTGTTATAAACCACCATCTCATCAGGAAGCAGCAACATGCTCCGACAAACTTGAATTAACAATCTTATTATACTGGCGCTGTATGTTCCCGAGGTAATTACATAGCCACTGTGCCTACACAAGTGTTTATTCAATCTGTACAATTACGTCACAAATAGAGAATACAATTGCTGGAAGAGAAATTTAATACTACTTCCCTGACACTGTGATTCTGTCCGGTTTGCAATTTTTTAAATTTTACACCGGGAATAACGTGGTTTTATATATATAACCACGTTTCTCTTTCACAATGTGCATAAATGACACTTTTTTATTCCTCATGTTTACGATCGGTTTACATGTATACATTTACATGTATATGCCACGTTAGCTTGGTTGGGTATTTACCCATCATTCAGAAGAGTGGACTTAATATATGAACTTAAAATAGTTCGATATTGAACAAATGCGAATGTAAATATAAAAATCGAAATAATAATATATAAAATTAAGCGGCATTACTTGTTTTCGTTTCTAAGCATGATTGTGAAATAAACTTCCTGAAGCCGTTATTGAAGTGATCTTCTTAGTAAACAAAGAGAACGGCCTTATCTGTCGTGTTTGACAGTCACACAATTTCAGTTATTTCACGACGTTTTAACTTAATGGGAAGCCGGAAGTTCTGCAATCCTAGACGTCACCAATTTCATTGGTTTACTCCCGCTATGTTCGCACGTAACGGTAGCTTTACCATGCCACTGTTACGTTTCATTGTCTACACGAGCTTCTTAAAAACACATGCCATCATGTCAACAGTCAGAACATAACACCTGACTTATTTATTGTGTATGACATGATGTGGTTGAGTGTATGACATGATGTGGTTGAGTGTATGACATGATCTGTTTGAGTGCATGACATGACCTGTTTGAGTGTATGACATGATGTGGTTGAGTGTATGACATCATCTGTTTGAGTGTATGACATGATTTGTTTGCGTGTATAGCCTGAGCTGCTTAAGTGTATGCCATGAGTTGTTTGAGTGTGAAATGAACTGTTTGTGTGTATTGCATGAGTTTGAGTGTGTTTCATGAGCTGTTTGAGTGTGAAATGAGCTGTTTTGGTGTATTGCATGTATTGTGGAAGCTTGACCACTGTTGTGGATAGATCAATGTTATTGATGATAATATTGTATTTGATACTGCCTTTGAATTTTGTACTACCACTACTGCATACTGCCAATGTGATTGCTGTGCAGTAATTTGTATTGATTTATCAACCTAGTTAATAGTATAATGCAATTGTAATATGTGTTATGAGACCAACATTCCAAATCTCCCATACAACATCGTCTAAACATTCTTGCAAAGGATTTACTGATTTTCTTGATTATCCAATCACGGTTTTCGTTTACCAAAACAATACGACAGTCAGTTATTTTCTAAATTTAATATTTTTTATTTGGTTATGTAGCCTAAATCAAAGACCATATTCCCTCTAGTATATGGTCTCTGCCTACATATATGTGCTTATTTAAATCAATTGCAGATTAAATATTTTTCCAGGCACCTTCGAAAATCAATCCATACATTTGATCTGGATTGATGTTTGTTTCAGAAATTGTTCTTTACACTGCTCTTATAGATCTGACATAGGCCACAGGCCTTAGGGACCGACCATTTGACATTCATTGACACTGGGAAAAATATATAAATTGTTCCAGTAAATAGTAGAAAAGTTGCCTCAGGTTTTACACAAAACGAATGTTCGCTGGAAATTTAATTTGAAATTGTTTCCGGAAGCTCCTACTTTCTTGGAGCAGTGACGGAAAATCTTTTTCTAAGACGAAAACTAAAGACATATACATATAAATGGGTAAGGTCCTGCACTATTTGCATATTTACTTACACATATAATTAAGACTTAATTTTCTTGTATCTCAAATACCACCCATCTTTTCCTCCCAGCAGCTCCGAGTCATAGTGTATGCTACTGTCGTTTATATGGTCTGGGAACGTGGTCTTCAAAACATTGAGAATTTTAGGCTCAATAATGTGGAAATGTTTCCTCGGAGTATAACCATCCCGTACAGAACGGATGAGAGTCACCACACCAGGAGTGAATGACTGTGAGAGGATAGTCTTGAGATGGTTGGTGGTGTTGTCAATCTCCTTCTCGTCAACGCTGTGGTATATGATGAGCGTTGTATTAGGCCCATTGTAACCGTGGCATAACACCATGCCATCATTTCGGTTGAAGCCTGTACTCCTTGGGGACTTGTTCATACACACGCCAACAGTGATAAGTTCCTCCAACTGACGCTCATCAAGGTAAAGGAGGTCGTCGAGTAGACGACCAAGTATAAAATAGGTAGATTCGTTAGGCAGGCACATAACATGCCTAGCCTTTTCCAGTACATTGTGGAGTTTATCAATAACTGAATTCCTCTTAGAAAGTGAGTCAGAACATGATCTGTCATCTTTTGCTCTTCCGCTACCGCAGAGCTTGAGATGTGTGAGTGTGATCTTTAACATGTCATGAAAGAATTTATCAGCCAGCATTTCATCGTGAGCATTGTCAACACACATAAGCTTCCCTACACTGAATGATATGTCATAGATTTGAGCCTTACTCATCCCGGCATCGTACAGAGGAGCGGACACAGCTTCACAGGCGTAGTAGTCCTCGTCAATGTCCAGGATGACGCTGTCACTCGCCGTGATCCAGCTGCCGGAGTTTGCCAACTCTACAGCCTTGTCTGTACTCACGAACTCCAACGTGCCCTTTAGCGACATATCCATACATCTAGACTCAGGTATGACAACATAATCCTCAGAATCATTTTCAACATCTGCATCAATCCAGGTACATGGGTTGTCTATCGTGAAGTGGTCAGATTCTGCGCAAACACAGCGTTCCAGTATGTATCTGTCACCATCAGTCTCCCCATGTCTGTACATTACGCCGATTCTCAGTCGAATAGACACGTAGGGGGCGTTCGTTTCGTGGAGGAAGCCTCCAGCGTCATACGGGGGCCAAACCCAGATGAAACGATTGATCAACCCTGTGGCAGCAGCGACCTGGAAATATGTCGAAGACGTTCATTCATTGATATTTTGGGGCGGGGTGGTGGGTTTGTTGAGAAAGTGGGGTTTTTATTGAACAAAGATAAAAAAGTAATTTGTACTCAGGAATTACAAAACGTTTCAGAATAAATGTATTGTGGCTTTGTAGAGAAAAAATGTACGCATTGAAACTTGACTGAAAGTAAATTCAAACAATCAATATCCAGGTTGTATCCACGGGTTTGTCCGGTCCGTGATCAGTGATATCACTGGAATACTGACTACAGGTTAAAACCCCAACCACTACAAGAGACTAATTTGGGTAATTTACCTGAATAAAGACGTCGTTCCTCTCCATCATTAGCTTCACCTCCCTCTGGTTGGTAGGTAACCGAAAGAGAGGCATCTTCCTCCAATACTCTGGTGGGGCGGCGTCTGAGTGACCGTCTATGTGAATCTGCCGAGGAGAGTCAGATCTGTAGATACACGCAGTACCGAGTAGCAATTATAATTATGACTATGTCATTCGTTTACAAGTGGGACCTCGCTATCCATTTACAAGTCGTCTAAGGCGCCCAAATTTCTGTGGACTTGGATTCGAATACCAGTTCGCCCTGGTTATGTTTCTAGGTTTGTCAGCGCCATACCCGTGCTCGTTGGTTTTAAAAAAGTGTTAAGCGTTTGAAAGCCCTTCTGGTTGGTCTCCCACATAAAGCAGACACGCCGCTACATAACTGAAATACTGTTCAAAGAGGCATTAAACCAAATTCACTCACTACCTTTAGCGACATTTTCAGTCATTCGTTCTCTCTAAAAAAGAACACCGCCCAAAATTCTTTTGCCTACCTGGATATAGAATAATAATATGATGTTACTATCATAATCAGTATGAAGTTGGTCACAACTTTAATGCGTGCAATAAAAAGTAAGTTTACATCCATCAAGCCGATTGCGCTTAATAATCAACAGTTAACTATGCTCGAATAACAAAGGGTTCGATTACCAGAACGTTCCCTTGCTTCTTAATTGCCCCACTAGCTGCGGCCGAGAACCAGTACATCAAAGCTGCAAAAGACACAAAAAGTACATCAGTGCTCCAACATACTCACACAGTACATCATAACTCACATAGAACATCAGTACTACGCTAGACACAAACTGTATATCAGACACACATAACTTACATCAGGGCTGTAACAGAGACACAAAGTACATCAGTACTTCAACATACACACAGTACATCAGTACTGCAACATACACAAACACATTCCGCTACTCTCACGCCCCCACCACATCCGTACACCATCTCATCACTATAACACAGTCTCCTACAGTCACGTCCCCACACCACCACTTCATCACTACATCAACTCCTTCAGTCAATTTCCCACACCACCACTTGTTCACTACAACACCGTCTGCTCTAGTCACGTCCCCACACCACCACTTCATCACTACAACATCGCCTCCTACAGTCACGTCCCAAACAACACCTAAAAATCATTACAACATCGTCCTCTTCAGTCACGACCCCACGTCACCACCTGATCACTACAACATCGTCTACTCTAGTCACATCCCTACACCATCACCTCATCCCTACAACATCGTCTATTACCTTCATGGTGTTCTTCCATAACGTTTACGACGCCGAAAGAGGGGAGTACGAGGGAGTGATCCATGTTTGTTTTCAAATCGGTGTCCGCCAACGTATCCGCCCTCGATGTAGCACCTGTCCTATTAAGCCGCAACAGCAACATCACCACGGCGACCCACACCAACATCACGATGGATAAGGTCTTTATTGTTAGCAACCTCATGATGTATGGACGGAAGAGACCGCTGCCCGTCTGTTGTTAGAACCGCCGACGAACAAGCTACAGCTTACTGTTGGTAACAAGGTGAGAGGGCAACTTTTAACATGATTTACTATCCAAATCCACTTTCCGTGTAAGTTGATTTTACATTTGGCCTTTTTCCTCGTATATACATACACAACGTTCAAAACCGTTACGCATGTGTACAGTGTCTTTTGTTACTGGCCTTGTCACAGATTAGTAACTGAGGCTACATACATGTATATGCTGGTATCTATTCCACGTGTAGTAACTGCTGGTATATATCACACCTGTTGTTATTACATGCTGTTATATTTTACACTCTCAGTAATTGATGTTCATGTGTTTATGCGTTAGAAATCCTACTTGTTGATCCTTATATAGTTTGAATAAGTGTCGACTTGATCGGCAAATGTCATGTTAAGCTACCAAATGTAACCACGTGTAATATATACATACTCTAAGTTCAAAACTGTTAGACACGTGTACAGTGTTTTTGGTTACTCGTGTTATCACAGGTTACTATATGTTTATATTTACTTTCCTGGAAGGTGCATTTCAACAGAATAACATGTGGAAGGAAAGTCCGAAGTGCTGCAGACGGGGCATTTACCACTCCGGTGGAACTCACGAGCACGTGTATTGTGCAGACACAACAATGGTCCTAATTTGGGCGAATCTGGGATTCGAACATTTTGGTTAGGTATGCTTCAGTTACATAAATGCTTGCAGATTTACACCTGTAGTACCTGAAGCTCCATCTATTACATCTTCAGTAACAGAAGCAACATGTATGGCAGTGTCTGTTATACCTGTAGTAAATGAAGCTACATATCTTCTGGTATCTATTACACCCGTAGTAACTGAAGTTACATACCTGCTGGTATCTATTACATCCGTAGTAACTGAGGTTTCATACCTGCTTGTATATATTACACATGTATCATAACAGCTATAGTATCTGTAGTACTATAGCTATATAGCAGCAGAAGCAAAATACCTGAGCGTATCTATTATAGTTGTAGTACCTTAAGCTACATAACCACTGTATTTATACACTTGTAGTAACTAAAGCTACATACCTGCTTGTATATATTACACATATTTTAAAGTTTCATACCTCCTTGTGTATATTACACCCGTAGAAACTAAAGCTACATACCTACTGGTATCTATTACACCTGTAGTAAATGAAGCTACATACCTGCTTGTATATATTGCACCCGTAGTAACTGAGGTTTCATACCTGTTTGTATATATTACACATGTAGTAAATGAAGCTACATATCTTCTGGATCTATTACGGACGTGGTAACTGAGGTTTCATGCCTGCTTGTAAATATTACACATGTATCATTACAGCTGTAGTATCTGTAGTACTATATCTATATAGCAGATACCTGAGCTAAATACCAGAGCGTATCTATTATACTTGTAGTATCTTAAGCTACATAACCACTCGTATTTCTACATTTGTAGTAACTAAAGCTACATACCTGCTTGTATATATTACACATATTTTAAAGGAGGCCACATACACTCCGGTATATATTGCTCATGTAGTAAATGAAGCTACATATATGTTGGTATCTGTGGCAACTGTAGTAATTGAAGTTGAATTCCTGCTGATACCTGTTACACGTGTAGTAATTGAAGTTACATACCTTCTGATACCTATTACACTTTTGGTAATTGAAGTTACATACCTACTGATACCTATTACACATGTAGTAATTGAAGTTTCATACCTTCTGATACCTATTACACTTTTGGTAATTGAAGTTGCATACCTACTGATAACTATTACACATGTAGTAATTGAAGTTACATACCTTCTGATACCTATTACACATGTAGTAATTGAAGTTACATACCTTCTGATACCTATTACACATGTAGTAACTGAAGAATAATAAATACCTGACGTGTCTATTTTCAGCATCGTCGTGTGCAGTTAGAAACTGATATTCGGAATGAAAAAGATGACTACTTTCATTTAAAATCTTACGCTTCTTTGCTGCTCATATATTTCGCCTGAGATCTTTGCTTGCCGTATTCAAATATTTATGTATTTTGGATTTTGTCTCCATAACAGCAGTGGACTTTAAAAATGCTTTGAATAAATGTTCTATAAAATAGAGAGAGAATTGTGTGATCAAGTTTAAAATACCGAGAGCACCGTAACATATACGCCGAATATATACATTCCTCGTGTGAGTAATTGAAGCTACATACCTGCTGGTCCTTGCGATCTGTTTTTTCGTACTAAATCTTACTATTTAGTTTAAATATGGTTTGGTTACTCTTCAGCTATCGAATTGATCGGCAGATGTCACGCGGACATATGGGAACCTAAGGCTTCATTAATCAGCTCGTGGTTATTTGTTAAAGGAACTTGTTATGAGTTCAACCTGTTACTGTGCATATTATACGTTTGTGGCGCTAAACATTGACCAGTCAATACATCATCATTGCTTTCATTTTCGTCTAATGAGCAGCCGTCGCTTGTCATTTGTCATGATTGTAGGTGGTGGCAGTGGAAGTGGGGGAGTGGAAGAGAGGGTTGATGGGTGCGGTACTGAGGGTGGAAGGTGGAATTAGGGTTGGGTGCTGAGTTGGGAGTAGGAATAAGAAGTGGGTATTTGAGTGGGTTTTCTTTTAGGTTTTTGTTTATTTATTATGCATTTCATTTATTTTCATTTTATTCTTATATTATGTATTTGTTTATTTAGCATTATTTTCTTGTGTAGTAGGGGATGGGGTGGGGAATTGCGGGACAGGTTAGCGGGAATGGGGGATGGGAGGCGGTTAGTGGGTGAGAGTAGGGTGAGAGATGGAGTGCTGGAAAGGAGAGCGGGGATGGAGGAAGGGAGCAGGAATGTGACTGGGTTGAGAGCTACAGTGAGGGAGAGGGGAGCGGGAGGGGGAAGAGGGAGTGGAGTATGGAAGTATTTGGAAAACGGGAGGGGCTCTATAAGTTATATCAAACCACAACGTCCAACTACATTAATATAAGTATTATTAATATTGCATCCTTTATTATATTACCCTACACGATGTCAAGATGTTTATCATATCAGGAAAATATGAAATATATCATCATTTTTGCAATTGGACAATTTCTTTCCTGGACCTCCTAAAATATGCATTTTCCATATTCCCATGCAAATATGTAATCTTCAACGATAACAGGCTCTAGTTTTTAAATGCCATTCTTTACGCCCAACGGAATTTTTTTCGGCAGAAATTCGAGACTGATTATTCTCTGACGTTGACGTTTTATATCTATCAAATGTTATTTAAGATATTATAAAACATACCAAGGCATAATTTCAGAGTTTACTATCTGACACAGCTAAGTATCCAACATGAACCACACGCTCAGAAAACACGTGTCGTGTCTGCAGTACTGATACCAGTGCTGTACATGTGCTCTACGATGTCAAATGGTGATCTCTCACTTGACAAGAACCCCCGTCCGTGTTTTATTTTGTTGAAATTGTTCGGGATAATGAATAGTGATCTTTATAGTTCCCACACAGAAATAATTATGAACATTAACATCCTTAAGGTCATATTGATATATTGATATCTGTAAACTTACACCAGTTGTATGCATATGAATTGTGAAGCATTCATCGATCTGTTTTCTGTGCATGCGACAAAGCTGTTTCCAAAATACCATAAGAAACCAGAGTATAGCCGGATTCATTGTTCGATGCTAACTTTAGACCACCTGTCAGAGAGGCAATACAGAATTATTAATTTTTTCTTCTTGCTGTTGTTGTAGTTGTTAGTTGCTGTTGTTGTTGTAATAACAGAAAGTATCACGTACAACTATTTCTGTTTATATGTTCGCGTCAAAGTTTGGCAAAGAAACATTGTGAGAAAAGTTGGCATATTGAGTATTGTGTAAATTCTGAAAAACTATGATTTTATAGAAACTTAAATCCATTTCATTCTTGAAAGTCATTTGTTTTAGACCTTAATGCACACATACCCTTGTCACATATGAAGTATAGAGCTAATGATATCGAATTAATAAATCGATTATTAAACATTTATTAAAGTACTATTCATCTATCTTTCACTTTCATTACTGAATTATGGCTTGATTGATTTATACATATATGTCTATATTGTAAAATTATATTTTCATGTACTTTTACATGCATGTTATTTACATGAACCATCGGGACGATTCCCTAAATGTACTCCATGTGAATGACAGAGGCAAGGAAAGCTCGATGCCGGATTAAGCAAATATTGTCTTCAAATGGAAAGTCACATGTCCAATTTTCTTTCACTTTCAAACTATTATCTCAAAGGTGGAATATAAATAACCATACATTTAACCATAATATAAATATAGAATATACCAAGTTCCAGGTAGAATATGAATTGAAATTTGAATTTGATTAGGTCTCGGTCTTCGTTTTGGTAAATCTTCCCAGTCGAATTAAACACAGTACACAACAGTCTTAACAAAAATAAGTTATGTTTGAATTATGTGTTTCAATAAAACTGCACTATGATAAATAAGAATATGGAAAACAGGTACCATTATTTTGGAGCATACTTAAACCTAATATTTATATTATAATTAAATCTTTATCAACTCAAATATTGATATTTCAGACTGTGCATGACACAGGTGTATGTTGAACAATACGTACAATTTTAAAGTAAGTGAGTGAGGTAGTAAGGGGTTTAGCGGCACTTTGAACAGGGTATCTCAGTAATGTAAAGATACTCAACTGTACATGTTTGATTGACACGACCTTCATATGTTATGAGCCCGAAGTGATGCAGGTCTTAGAAGTTTAGCACTTTGGAGAAACCCAATAACACTGTATGGTGCTGACAAACCTAGGAACATAATCGAGGCGATCCAGGATTCGAACCCACAATCATAGGTTTTTGGCGTGCCCTGGGAACAGCGCATTGCGGCGCCTTAGACGACTGGGCCACTGGTGCCCCCGTCCCTGAATAAACCTGTTGAGTTTGATATATAGATAAAACATATATCTGATAACAATTTCATCTCTAAAATTGCAGAAAATGCTCGGTTAAAATTATAACCATGATAATTTGATATGATGCAATTTCTTTGCACATGTGGGACCTACACTTGTGTAATTGTTTATGTTAAATGTCACCCCGGGGCCGAAAATAAGAAGGAGTGTTTGTCACTGAGTGTAACCCAAGTGTTGTTGCTTGTGTAGGCTATGTTCAATCTCGAGGCGGGATACTACTCTTCGTCGCCACAGCTTGCTGGTTATCCCAGAGCTCTACACTGCCAAGGATATTACTGATGCTTCGATGGGGTTGAAATGTGATTGTTGCTCATTACGCTGCAGGTTACAATGAACTGAAATGTACATACTATGCGTTGGCGGAATATGTTCATCACAAGGAAATTTGTGTTGGCTGAAAGATTTGTGAATTTCCAGCATGTCGGGACATTCGTTTTAAAATAGAGCTTACCTAAATATTGCCGTGTTATAAAAGGGGATTTGCTGGCTGGTTCGTTTGTGTTTGTGGCTATATAGAAGGGCGTATCTGGACCGGTCTATACAGGACACAAGCTTGAATAAAGCGTGTACGGGATACAGAGCAATGTTCATGACGTGTCGCCCATTCGTTGATGTGTAAGTAGCTGCTGCCCAAGGGAAATCCCCTTGGCATGTGTTGGACTGCTCTCTGTGCGTGTGTGTGTGTGTGTGTGTGTGTGTGTGTGTGCGCGTAAGTGCGCGCGCGCGCGCGTGTGTGTGTGTATGTGTGTGGTGTGTGTGCGTGTGTGTGTGCGTGTGCGTCTGTGCGTTTGTGTGTGTGTGTGCGCGCGTGTGTGTGTGTGTGTGTGTGCGTGGTGTGTGCGTGGTGTGTGTGGTATGTGGTGTGTGTGTGTGTGTGTGGAGGGGGGGGGGGGGGGGGGGGTTAAGGTAGGTAACTCAACGGGTATCAACATGAGAAGTATTATTCCACCACATAGTGTTCAAAATGGATTGAGGATCGTGATGACAAAGTTGGTTTGTTTCACAGTATGTCAGAGACGGATTCCGTACGATGAGGTAAGTAACCAATACATCCTTTAGAACGTTTTTTCGTTTTTTTGCATGACAGTATTAAGCTTTCAAAATACACGATCTTTGATCTGGGATGAACGGTAGTGCTTACGATGTCATTTGCACTCATTAACCCCTGCAAACGTTTCACGTTGTGTGTTTTGGTTCTGATTGTCATGAACGAATCTGAATCAGAATGATCATACAGTTCAGTTCAGTTCAGAGTTGGGATGGCTACACATCTTTAGAATCACATATTCATCCTGTGAAAAATTGATCCTTCATCAGTTTATCAATCAAATATTGATTCTAATAATAATAATAATAATAATAATAATAATAATGATTAAACCTAAGAGACACTGTGAAAACCTTGAATTCAATATGGCTGCCAAACCACGTGAATATGAAATGTCAAGCACCTAAAGCAGCAGACACATGCAAAGTTTGAAAGTAATCGGACAAGTGGTTGCCGAGTAATAGGGCAAAATATAGCTTTAAAAATACTTACTTTTTAGTTATCTATCCTTGGTCGTTGTGCCTTCGGCATTGGATTTTTTGTGGTATCTAGAACTCCACCGTCTAGATACACATACAAAATGGGAACGCAATCGAGGAAGTGGTTTCTTTGCAAGCTCTGGTAAAAAAATCGGCGGAATAATAATAAATAATAAATCGGCCGATTACAATAGGGCTTTAGCCTTATGGCTCGGAGCCATAACTAAGCATTTCTTAAGCGCTGGTATCCAGTTAAGAAAACTGCTCAAAAGCGCTGACAGGAATCTCTAATACAGATGGGGATCTACTGCAGGTTAGTGGTCCTGAAGAGTTAGGTCTTCAGTCTGCTCTGGAAGCCGCCCAGGTCTTGAGGACTTCTGATGTCGAGTAGTAGGCTGTTCAACAACATTGGAGCTGCTCGTGCAAAGCAGCGATCACCAAATCTGGTTGTTCGTGATGTGGGTATACACAGTAATTTTTTATCACCTGAACGCAGATTGTGTCTAGGTTCTTATTCACAAATCATGTTCTTGATATATGCTGGTGCAAGATCTTGTCCTGCTTTGAAGATCAATGTGAAGACCTTGTACTTGATTCAGTACACCACCTTGAGCCCGTGAAGGTCCTTTAATATTGGTGTCATGTGATCTCGTCGTTTGGTCTCTGTGACTAGCCGTGCAGCGCAGTTCTGGATGCGCTGGAGTTGTCAAGAGATGTTGTAGAAGGCCAAGAAGCAAAACATTACAATAGTCAAGATGTGAACTTACACATGCCTATACTAATGTTGCGGCGGTCTTTGTGTTAATGAACCTACGGATCTGGCTGATGTTTATCATGTTGACGTAGGCCTTCTGGCAAACTTTGTTTACGTGGGACTCATCACTCAGAGTAGAGTGAAACACTACTCCTTGTCTCTCCTTATCTGGGCACTGACATTACCGTGTCTGGTATTTTGTCAAGACGGTACATTGGAACTTGTCGCCTTTCTCAAGTGTGGTGCGACTATTAATTAGCCATTTTGTTTGTTTCAAGGAGACCACAGTTGATACAACCGGATCTTTGTCTTTACTGTCGATCTTGACAATATACTCTCCATCCCCAAAAGAAACGCATAGTTGAAAAATTCTAATGTTATTTTTTTTCAAAGGATGATAGGGAATGAACACTTGTTCTTTAAAACATGAAATTTCACATAATTGAAGAAACAAAGTTTGTCTGTATGATGGTCTGGATTTTATAACACACGGATGTCGTGCAGAGGGTCAGGGGTGACGTCACGTTCAATATAATACATAACCACACGGCAACGTCTATAATCGGCTATACGCCATCATGAAATGCTTTTTATATATGCTTCTCAAATCCTATATCTACATAGAAATCTATCTTTTTCACATGAATCTTAAAAAAGAGTTAGAGATGCGATGACCCAGTTCAGATATAGTTCGCGTGGTTTATTGATTCACCATAGCAGACGCTCAAATAAACCGAGAGAAATTACATTATGCAAACAATGTAATAGACTTTGAGTTTCACCTTTAATTAGTCTGCAGTAAATATGAATATTTAAGAAATAAGATACTTTAAATACAATTAGTATGAAAAGCACACTTTAAATTCAAATGGTATGAAAACCCAACTAAATGTACTGCACTGCTTGCTTTGCACGATATCTGTCAAAAATATGCCTATGTATATATTTCATTCAGTAGTATTAAAAACTGTTATATAAATTTGTATAACATAATCATTCCTAAAGAGTATTTAAGATGAGCATGTGGCCTTCTGCACGAAAATATAATGTACCACTACTATGTATACAATACCCCTAATGGTATAGTATCACAGATGCGGCAAAGTTATAAAGCTTACGATTCGGATGCTGCTATAAAATATCCGACATCTATATACACTGATATTAACACGCCCCAAAATCAACGGTACACTAACCTAAAGAATTTGAGTTGGGCATCTGAATTAATACACTTAAGTAAGTGATGTATTATGGTTTCAGAAATGTAGTCGGCAATAGTTTATTACTAGTAATGAGCACGTGGTCAACAAGAACGCGGACATATCGGAAGATTTTTCCTCTAAACTTCACAAGCTAAAGGAATTAGACTGCAGGGGATTATCTCCCTTAGAGCATCTATGAATATGACGTGAAGACAACTCCCCCCCACCCCCCACCCCTCACCCCCCCACCCCCCTTTGGAATCGAAAGCTTTCACTATATGTCAAACTAAAACTGCACAGCATTGTCTATTTTTGTGTTTCATCACTGTTAATATCTAGAGCTTCTTCCTGATTCTTCTCTGAGTCAGATGACACTGGTACTTGAGTTGGTGATTTAACATCAGACAATCGTGATGCGTTCCATACTTGATTTCCCTGCTCGTCCTGAGTTGTGAATGTGGCAGGTCCTTTCTGACCAGTTATTACTGTTGGTGCTGCATATCTATTTTCTCCTTTTAGAACATTCCAGGGTTCTAGATCTGTACTTGATCACCAACCGAGACACTTGGAGTGAGTGAGTGAGTGAGTGAGTGAGTGAGCTCTTCTTACCAATGAGTGTTGAAAACACGTCAAAAGACTGCTCTAAGACAGGTTCACATGTACTGTTAGAAACAAAACTGGATCCAGACACAACTTGGGGCATGTCAAACGGTTGGGAGTGCCCATATGCATCTTTTGGGGTGGCATTCCTGCCTGTGTTACTGACGGATATATCCCACATTCACGAAACCCACTCACGATATTTGAAAGTGAAAATGTTTTTTCGTGTGCCTCCCGTAAGAGTCTCGACCACTCCCATTTCGTCACCATGGTATTGGGCAAATAAGCCCTTTAAGCTCTAAGAATTACATACACCCCGCTAATTTCACATGTATCCGATAATGTTAGTGTTAACACAATCCAACTTAAATTTACACATTGTTCGTAATTAGGGACCGACCATTTGATATTCTTGGGGGATGGGGGTTGGATGCTGGGATTTTATCGAAAAAAATATATTGTCCCCGAAAATGTTTGATTAAAGTAATTATTTCTTAAGACTGTCGAAAAAAAAGAAATTGTCTGCCACTTTACAATGTTGCATGATGTTGATTTAGAAAATAATATTTTAAATATCTGGTTTTGCATCTGTACCTGAACAAATATCTAAACACCACAGCTGCCACACCGAGCGCCAACCTGCAAGCATGTATCAGTATTAGACTTGAAGTATCTCCTCATGTCTTATGCTACTGCTACTGCTAATATTACAACCAAATCATAATTTAGATCTGTTAAATCTGAGGTAACATAGCTCTTAATTGAAAGCAGTACTGAGAAGAGTACTTAAGAAGCAAGCTGATTTCGCTTAATAATCAACAGTCAACTATGTTCGAATAACAAAGGGTTCGATTACCAGAACGTTCGCTTGCTTCTTAATTGCCCCACTAGCTGCGGCCGAGAACCAGTACATCAAAGCTGCAACAGACACAAAAAGTATATCAATGCTCTAAAAGACTCACACAGTACATCATAACTACAACGGAGACACATAGAACATCAGTGCAACACCAGACACAAACTGTATGTCAGACCTGCAACCAACACACATAACATACACACAGTACATCAGTACCGCAGCATACACACAGTACATCAGTACCGCAGCATACACACAGTACATCAGTACCGCAGCATACACACAGTACATCAGTACCGCAGCATACACACAGTACACCTGTACTGCAGCATACACACAGTACACCTGTACTGCAGCATACACAAACACATTCCCCTACATTCACGCCCCCACCACATCCCCACCCACCTCATCACAACAACATCCTCCTCTTCAGGCACGCCCACCTCATCACTGCAACATCGCCTCCTACAGTCACGTACCAAACACCACCTAATAAATCACTACCAAATCGTCTACGCTAGTCACGTCCCCACTACATCCCCACACCATCTCATCACTACAACATCGTCTCCCACAGTCACGTCCCCACACCACCATCTCATCACTACAACATCGTTTCCCACAGTCACGTCCCCACACCACCACCTCATCAATACAACATCAACTCCTTCAGTTACGTCCCCACACCACCACCTCTTCACGAAAACATCGGCTCCTACAGTCACGACCTAAACAGCACCTACTAAATCACCACAACATCGTCTACTACCTTCATGGTGTTCTTCCATCACGTTTACGACGCCGAAAGCGGAGAGTACGAGGGATTGATCCATGTTTGTTTTTAAATGGGTGTCCGCCGACGTCTCCACCCTCGATGTAGCACTCGTCCTATTAAGCCGCAGCAGCAACACCACCACGGCGACCCACATCAACATCACGACGGATAAGATTTTCTTTGTCAGCAATCTCATGATGTCTGGACGGAAGAGAGCGCTGTTCGCCTGTTGTGAGAAGCGCAGACGAGGGAGCATCAGCACGTTGTTGGGCCACTAGATGACAGGGCCACTTCTAACGTGATTTACAATCCAAATCCACTTTCCGTGTAAGTTGATTTTACATTTGGCCTTTTACCTTGTATATACATACACAGCGTTCAAAACTGTTAAGCATGTGTAGATTGTTTTTTGTAACTGGCCTTGTCACAGATTAGTAACTGAAGCTACATACCTTCTAGTACATATCACACTTATTGTAATTGGAGCTACCTAAGTGAAGTTTCATACCTGATGGCATCTTTTTACAACTGCAGTAACTGAAGCTACATACCTGTTAGAACATGTCCACTTATCAAAACTAGGGTACAAACCTGCAGGTATATGTTTCATTTGTCGTAACTGAAGGTGCATGTCCACTGGTCTTGACGATGTGTTTATGCGTTAGAAATCCTACTTGTTGATCTATATATAGTTTGAATAAGTATCGACTTGACCGGCAAATGTCATGGTGGTCTACCAAATGTGACCACAATAAGACGTAATTCTGCACGTATTTATTCTTCTAACGATACTTGCTTTGAGTACAACGCGGTATATTTCAATTGAGTCGTGGGCGTTAAACATTGGCTTCAGTCAATACAGTGGACCCACGCTTAGGCTTTGAAAATTATATTAAATACAAAAGAAAATGAAGATGGAAAAGAGATGGGAACCTGAACCTGTTGGAAATCTAGATTTACTTTATTTAGGGCTATAGCATTACATTAAGGTGGCCACAATGCTTTATGTGACGTAATTCTGCTCATATTTATATTTTTAACCATATCAGTAAATTTGCATAAACATAAACAACGGAGGAAACTTTACATAGCCTGCGGGAAGTACGACCGTAAAATCTCGATCATCTATTAGACATTCCAGAATGTTCTTTCATTTTAGAATTTGAATTGAGAACTTTGTCAAAATATTTTTTAAAGCGTTGTCTGAAATGAAAGTCGCCATTTCTACTTTCTCATTGGCGAATGTCGAAATCTAATTACTAGTCATTTCATTGGTCGGTCAAAGTTCGCGAAAGGTCGTTCTGTGACATGATCTGTATCTGTTGACCCAATAAAAACCGCACTGTCATGCTGCAATATTTGACATATGTCTTTCAGTTCCATGACTGTTAAGATCACCCACTGGAGCATGGACAATTTGACAATATCGTGTACCATAATTGAAGTCACATCATCTGGTAACAGATTGCAAAGGCAGGTAGAAGCTGGAAAAAGGACTTACTGCAAAGTGAAATCTTCCAAAATAGTTATTGTACCTGTATACCATTTCCTAATTTGTAAGGCTTATCTATATCTATTTGACGTGTAACACGATTACATACATGTTCCGGAGCAATATTGCTTCAGTTATCATTTTTTAATAGTTTCTTGATTTCTCTTGTTTACTCTTATTTCCTGATACAATTTACTATGGTTCACATCACGTGGTGCACCACATATTGTTGTCAGGGGATCAACATGGCGGTTTCTCGGGCTTCAGACGAATATGGGATCATTGTACACAGCACCAGGAAAACCGTAAACCGTTTACGATTTTGGCGAAACACACGAGCAAGGCATTGTCTCAGCAGTCCAATTGTAAAAACAGAAGTAAATGATAACAGAAGATTCGAACACACGAGCAGCGTATCCTGCCAGGGTAGGGGAGCGTAAAACGAGCTCCCCTTATAGAGATTTTAACAAACAGAAGAAACTGAATCATAAGTTACGCATGGACATAAAAAGCCGTAAAGGTATTAAGTTCACACATAATGAGACCGTAACCGTTTTCATCTAAAAAAGGGTACCGCCTCCATGGTGTAGTGTATAGAGCGTCTGTCCGAAGAGAGGAAGATCGGTGTTTCGATCCCATACAAAAATACGTTAAAATAAGGTACTTGTTTTTACGCTGCCTGGCGTTCGGAATTATGGGGATAAAAGAAGGTATGGCTGGCCATGAATCAGTATAATGTGTTTGAGTGGTATCCATGTTAAAACTGCGCCATGGTATCTCAATGGGCTAGCACAATAATATACAGTACATGCACCACACACACACGTGTATTCACGTCGTTATATAAGTGCAATGTCTTTGAACGCGGACTATGAAGGCTTTGATTTTGCTTTTTATCTCTACTTGACTCAAGGGAATAGGCTATGTCTCCACTTTGCCTAGAGCTAGCTTCGCCAGTGTGTCTGCTCTTTCATTTTCATGAATATCTATGTGAAACGGGATCCAAAACAGCTCCACTTGTTGCCCTTGGTCCGATAGTTTTGTATATTCGTATAGAAATTTATGGATTGTGCTTGGTCTCGATTTTGACTTCCTGCAGCTGATGGCTTGAAGTGCGCTTAGGGAGTCTAATAGGATGACTGTCTTTGCTTCCCGTAGTGCTGGTATGAGTTTTAGTGCATGATGAATTGCCGCCGATTCAACAGTGAATACAGACTGACCATCAGGCAGGCGAACCGAATGTGCTTTGGGTTTGGAGCTATGGATATGGATCCCGTAACCAGCAGTGTTGTTGATAGGTTTCTTGTTTCCATCAGTGTACTAGTATATATGGTCCCAGCTGTCCAAGGTAGTTTGAATTTTAGTGATAGCTACTGATCGTAGTAGGATTGGGTTTCCTCTTTTTAGTGACTTCTGATGACAAGGTAGTGTCAACTTTGGAAGGTCTTTTAGTCCAGAGATGGTGTAACCCTTTGTAGTGACTTTCTGGTGGCTGAATATCATCGCAATTTTGACTTCGGATGAGTTCTCGTAGAAATATCCCAGATTGCTTAAGTACGAGCTAAGGCTTCATCTCAGGTTTTTTTGTCTTGCCATATTTTTTCACTTGAAAGGTTGAACCCCCATTTATTGCACCAATGACCTACTCCATTAAAGGGCTGGTTGGAGGTTTTTTTGGATTGGTGACATATCTCTGTGGTTTACCCATGTTGCGTCATCATCAGCGAATTGGGACGTTTGGGTAGGAGAGTTGACATGGTCAAATAGATCATTGATCATGATGTTAAACAGGGTTGGGCTTATAATGGATGTGTATACGAAAAGCATTGAAGATGAACTCCATTTTTCATATTTGATTGCGAGGCATATGTATCGTTGAGAACTAAGTACATACCGAAATGGCATATTTCATCGTTGGTAGAAACATGTGTTATCAGTCTTTATAGCGTTCTTTATGGATTCTGGATGACAAGCATTGATGATGTTGTGCGCATTACTTCGTATGAACAGAGCGACAGCTTGACGTTACATTACTTCAACGGTTTAACCGTACGCCTGTGCCGTGACGATTTTGTCTATTGTCTAGCGACAAATGTGTCTATTATTTATCACCTATCAGCGACAATTATCTGTTGGCTTCCCTTGTTTAAGTTTCCACCTTTGTTATCTTATTACTTTTGTTGTTCTGACATGTAGATATATGTGCTCTCTGAGGAGTAAGAACATACTCCGAAACGTTGTGTTCTTCATAATATAGACCTTAACATACATACATTCTCTAAGAACATTCTCCGAAACGTTGTGTTCTTCATAATATAGACCTTAACATACATAAATTCTCTACCTTTTGTGTATCACTTCTAAATGCTGTTCAAAGACAAGATGTATATGGATGCTGAAACTGCGATGTTTTATCTTTCTAACGAATCTGTACAGCATGTGACTGTAATAACCAAGGGGATGAATGCCTCCATTTATTTCTATGTGCATATTTTAAAGATGTTCGGATTTCATACTTGTCTGCATATTTTAGAAAAATCATATATTAATGTTGCATAACCTCTTGGTTCCAATAACATAGTGTATCAAATAAAATAACAAGTGTCTCCTAAAATAATACTTGCAAATTTCAGAACGATAAAAGTACATTATGTGATGTAATCCATCACAAATGGATATGCTACGTAGTACTGTCAATCTCCGGATCCTTTGTTGTTTGTGGGTTTGTTTTTCAATATTCCAGTAATATTACTCATTGTACCCATGTGGGGAATCAAACCCGGTCCTTC